ACTTGGATGCAGTAAACCAGTTAAGTAACCTACTTGGATGTAGTAAACCAATTAAGTAATCTACTTGGATGCAGTAAACCAGTTAAGTAACCTACTTGGATGCAGTAAACCAGTTAAGTAACCTACTTGGATGCAGTAAACCAGTTAAGTAACCTACTTGGATGCAGTAAACCAGTTAAGTAACCTACTTGGATGCAGTAAACCAATTAAGTAACCTACTTGGATGCAGTAAACCAGTTAAGTAACCTACTTGGATGCAGTAAACCAGTTAAGTAACCTACTTGGATGTAGTAAACCAGTTAAGTAACCTACTTGGATGTAGTAAACCAGTTAAGTAACCTACTTGAATGCAGTAAACCAGTAAATCTCATGATGAGTCATAGAATAATTGATGTGGCATTACAGTTGTCTGCCGTTGTTTTAAAAATGAAAGTTGTTATTTGTCCACAACTGACAAAACATTAAAGTAAACAAATGATATTTTAACCATGTTTTCTGTGTTTCATCCCACCCAGCCTCATGTGCCAGTGATTCATATAGCAGATAAAAGATGGTTCAAACACCATTTGCATATTCGGGTAAAAGAAATGTTAACGTAAAAACTTTAGAAAATCACGATTTTTAAATCCAATTACATATTACCTTAATAGTGTATCCGTGGGTGATGGACGTCTTTCTACACTTGATCTTGGTGTCAGGCTGCCAGCCAGAGAAGCCGCGTGCGTTTCTTGCACAGGTTCAAGTGAGGAGATCTCTGGATGACTGGCGTAATTGGGGTATTCTGGGTGCAGAACTTGTGTGGTATTACAGTCATTACCTAACTCTGGGGTGTAGTCTTGGCTTTCTAGTAATTGATTTACATTAACTTCAGTCAATTCTGGCGAATTGAGGATTTCTGATGGGGCTATAGATAAAGGATCTTCAGGTTCGTTAAACGTGTTCGAAAGAAGCGCTGGTGAAGCGTTATTTTCATTGTTATCTTGCGATGCTAATGTCGCTGCAGAATGTGACAAATTCTTCCCTACAGTGTCCGTGTCTGACAGAGTAACATCGTCCCTAGAAAGGCTAAACTCGAGTAGCTCGACACTCCCCTGATTCTCCGAAACACACCCCTGGTATTTTTGTGTACTCTCTTGTGCAGTTAAAGGTTGTCTAGGATATTTTTTATCTGCTATATGATCGTTTACAGGATCTTGATGAGATACGCTATCAGAAGTCCTATGTTCTGTCCCTTTCGTAGAAAATTCCGTTTCTAATGTCATTTCTACATCCTCGTCCTTCGGATGGCTTTTTGCGGTTCGAGTATCTACCGTTTCGGCTTGTCCTTCACTCTGTGTTCTGGCTGATCCTGTAAGGAACAAATAATCTTAAAGTTATCAGAGTCATATATAAGTAACTTTTATATTTTATTAATAGAAACTATGCAATATGTATTGGTAAGCATGTTACAGTAAACAAGTTGGTTGTTATGCATATTTCCATTTAAGGTAGATTTGCAACGAAGACATCAGACTTCATTGTTGTTGTTTTTTTCAAATGGACAAGTTAATTCATCTTTGGGTTTTGTCATTTACTGATGCTATTTTTGGGTTTGTTAATGATTTTGGTTGTTTTTTTTATCTCAACGGCATCTTTTGTGCAAGTGGACTTAATGGTCAATTCAGAGACCCCTAGTGTTCAGGTATAACCATCCCTATGTTATGAACATATCGAAAGGGAAGTAACCAGTCAAAAGCATCCATTATCAGAAAGGCTTTGTCCGACTCGTTAGACTAAATAACGAGATTTAATGTCACTTTTAGCTCTGGGTGCGTTATAAAAGTGGCAGACAATCAATCCCATTATTCGATTCAAAGCCGAACAAAACCTTTGTGGCAGTTATTATTACTGTGTGGCCTTCCGTCGGATCAGTAGTTCAAAATTAGGGATGGTTATATTCGAGTCCTTGGGATCTCCGATTGGTCATTTAGCTCACCTGTACATACGGTGCCGTTGAGGTTAAAATACCAACACCTGACTTAAGCTCAATTTTTATTTGTATTTACACTATTCCAATAAACAGTACTAAGCCTACGGGATTTATTTATGCTCATTTTTTTACCACGTTAAAGAATTATATTCATCTGATAAAAAGAAATAGTTTTAAAAACAATTATGATAATTTTGATATCCTCAAAAGCTGAAAGAAATTATGATATCAATATCTAAGAGAAGACACGAAACACGTTAATACTAACCTGTGCTGTCTGTACTTCTCTGATGAGTTAGACTTGTTGTTTCATTCATTTTTGTAGTTTTTTCAATAGGCTTACTGATAGTAATAAGAGGTACATCTTCATCATCACCTCCCCTTTTAGGACCGTCTCCTGTATTCCTTCAAAAAAACAAATGAAGAATAGTAACATTCTTTTGTAGACAGTTCGCGAGAAAAGGTATCAATGTTTATCCGACTTTTTTTTTGCTTATTTGTGCTTTATATATATATTTATTTTTTTTTTTTTTTTTTTTTTTTTTTTTTTTTTTTTTTTT